AAATGGCAGAGAACGAGGAAATGAACGAGAAGAAATAGGGTACGTCGTGGGCTATGGAGAAGAACCGGAGAGAGATCAAGAGAGACAGAATGCATGATGGCAAGGGATACTATGGATGTTGGTAGTGGAGGAGCAAGGGGACAACGGTGACTGGAAGTAAAAGGAATGACAAAACTGGACAAAAGTGAGGAGAGCGTGAAGGGAATGACAAAACTGGACAGGGAAATAAAGAAAGAACGCTCGTGAGGTTAGCTCTAGTCAAAAGCCCACTGCTGATGAATTTTTTTTTAACTAAGATCAGCTACAGACGTTGGAATGGAGAGGAGAGGGAGAATATTATTTTATTTATTTATTTTTTTAACCAGTTGCAGAACTGGAAGGATAAGAAGAAGAAATTTTTTTTAATATTATATCTATATAAATATATATATATATTATATTATTTTTAAATACTATAAAACATAACACATAAGGGAAAGAAAAGAGAAGGACAGAAAAGAAAAAATAAATTATTAATATTATATATATATATATACATATATTTATTTTTATTTTTATTTTATTTATTTTTTTTTGAAAAAGAAAATCCAAATTTTTTTAAACAGGTCCAGAGGAGATAAAAGTCGTGACTTTGGATTTAAGATTGAAATGAAAGTCATGACTTTGACCTGCTCTGGAATCTCAAAGTCATGAGCTCAAAGTCATGACTTTTATCAGAACTTTTTTGACAGCAAAATTTTGCAGCACTCTGTTTTCAAAAATCTGATTTGTTCACCCCTTAAAACCTCTTCCAAGCACACAATTCATTCCAAAATCAATCTCTAACCATCATTTATCAACCATACACAATTTTTTTCAATTAAAGTGCAATCAACTCCTAAAAAGAGCCATTTTTCATGGGAATCAAACCACAAAAAATTGCATTTACTTCAATAACCTCAAAATAATTTCCCAAACAAGTTTATAAGCATAAAAAAAACTTAAATAGCTTGACTTCCCTAAAATTTTCCTTCCTTTTATGTTCTTTTGTTCTTTGGCCACATTTCTTGCTTCTCCAAAGGCTTATACTTCCTCATATCTTCTTGTTAACCTACAAAAGAGAAAAGATCACACATAACTTCACCAAAACAACAAAACTACAAAAGAAAAAAAAATAAAAGATAAGGTTTAGAACTTGGGTTTCCTCTCAAGTAGCGCTTGTTTTATAGTCATTCAGCCCGACTCTTCTCTTCTTCAAGAGGCATCAAATAAGGGCAAGGTGATTGCTCCACGGTCTACCTTACCACCCCAGTAATGCTTCACTCCTTGCTCATTGACTTTAAATCTTTCTCCTTCATTGCTTTCTAGCTCAACAGCACCATGAGGGAATGCTTGGACCACATTGAACGGTCCCGACCATCTAGACTTGAGTTTGCCAGGAAATAATCTCAATCTAGAGTTGTACAAGAGTACTTTTTGGCCTGGCTCAAATGCTTTGCATAAAATTTTCTTGTCATGTCATCTCTTTATCTTCTCCTTGTATTACCTAGCATTCTCATAGGCATTTAACCAAAATTCATCAAGTTCATTCAGTTGGAGAAGTCTCTTTTCACCCACAGCCTTAAAATCAAAGTTGAGCTTTTGAATAGCCCAATAAGCATCATGTTCTAGCTCTACCGGAAGATGACATGCTTTCCCAAAAACTAACCGGTATGGAGACACGCCTATAGGAGTTTTGTAAGCCGTTCGATAAGCCCACAATGCATCGTCAAGTTTGGTGGACCAATCTTTTTTGCCACTCCTATCGTCTTCTCAAGTATCTTCTTAATTTCTCGATTAGAAATCTCAGCTTGCCCGTTAGTTTGTGGATGGTATGCAAGTGCAACCTTGCGCTTGATACCATATTTCTTCAAGAGAGATTGAAATTAATAGTTGCAAAAATGACTACCAGCATCACTCACAATGGCTCTTGGTGCTCCAAAACGGGTGAAAATATGCTTCTTCAAGAACTTGAGCACTACTTTAGCATCATTAATGGGAAATGCTATCGCTTCAACCCATTTTGAGACATAGTCTAAAGCAACAAGGATATATTGATTGTTGAAAGACATAAGAAATGGTCCCATGAAGTCTATGCCCCACACATCAAACAATTCTACTTCAAACATGTTGTTGCGTGGCATTTCGTTCCTTTTAGAGATATTACCTATCCTTTGGCACCTATCACACTTTAAAACAAAGTCATATGCATCTTTGAATAAAGAAGGCCAATAGAAACCACTTTGCAAAATTTTAGATGCTGTCTTGTCACCTTTAAAGTGGCCTCTATAGTCAGAAGAATGGCAACATCTTAGAATTTCTTGTTGCTCACACTCAAGAACACACTTTCTAATCATTTGGTTGGCACATTGTCGAAACAAATAGGGTTTTTCCAAAAAATATAACTTAGCATCATGGAGAAACTTCTTCTTTTGATGAAACTTTAAATCAAAGAGCAAGATGCCACAAACAAGATAGTTGACAATGTCTGTATACTACGGTGTTTGAATATTGTCAACCTTAAAGAGTTGCTCATCAGGAAAAGCTTCATCAATAATAACATTACATTTAAGTTGAGCATCAGTACTCAACCTAGAAAGATGGTCCGCCACTTGATTCTCAGTACCCTTCCTATCAATAATCTCCAAGTCAAATTCTTGTAGAAGTAGTACCCATCGAATTAACCTTGCCTTAGACTTCTTCTTGTTGAATAGGTACTTTAAAGCTGAATGGTTAATGTAAAATATCACCTTAGTACCCACAAGATACAATCTAAACTTGATAAAAGCAAACACCATAGCAAGAAGCTCTTTCTCAGTCGTGGTGTAGTTTTCTTGAGCATCATCAAGTGTTCTGCTAGTATAGTAAATTGGGTGAGGCACCTTTTCTTTCTTTTGGCCAAGCATAGCACCCACAGCAAAGTCGCTAGCATCACACATCACAATGAAAGGCAAACTCCAATCAGGAGCCATCATGATAGGCGCAGACACAAGTCTTTTCTTCAACTCTTCAAATGCTTTCAAGCATGAATCATTAAATTTAAGTTCAGCATCTTTCTCAAGAAGAGTGCAAAGAGGCTTAACTATTTTAGAGAAGTCTTTGATGAAGCGGCGATAAAATCCCGCATGACCAAGAAAACTCCTTACATCCTTAACATTAGTAGGTGGAGGAAGTTGCTCAATCACCGAAATTTTGGCTCTATCTACATCCAAGCCATTTTTGGAGACTCTATGGCCAAGAACTATGCCCTCCTTAACTATAAAGTGGCATTTTTCTCAATTTAAGACCAAATTGGTCTCTTTACATCTTTTTAACACATTGGCCAAGTTGATCAAACATTCCTCATATGAATCCCTAAAAATTGTGAAGTCATCCATGAAGACTTCCATAGTTTGCTGAATCATATCAGAGAAAATTGCCATCATACATCTCTGAAAAGTGGCCGGTGCATTACATAACCCAAAAGGCATGTGCTTGAAAGCAAAAGTTCCATAAGGACAAGTGAATGTCATTTTTTCTTGATCCTCTGGAGCTATGGCAATTTAGTTATAGCCTGAATATCCATCAAGGAAACAAAAGAATTTCCTTCCAACTAATTTGTCAAACATTTGGTCGATAAAGGGAAGAGGAAAGTGATCTTTCCTAGTAGTCGCATTTAACTTTTGGTAATCCATGCATACTCTCCACCCAGTAATAGTGCAGGTAGGAATTAGCTCATTGTGGGTGTTAGCCACTACAGTCATGCCTCCCTTTTTTAGAACGCATTGAACTGGGCTCACCTAAGAGCTGTCAGAGATAGGATAGACAATGCCCACCTCAAGCCATTTTAAGATCTCCTTTTTCACAACTTCCTTCATAATAGGATTCAACCTTCTTTGATGTTCCACAGAAGTTTTATGATTGTCTTCAAGGAAAATCTTATGCATGTAAATTGAAGGGCTAATACCCTTTATGTCAGCAATAGTCCACCCAATAGCTCTCTTGTGAGCTTTCAAGACTTTCACAAGTTGCTCTTCTTGTTGTTCATTCAAGTCTGCAGCAATAATCATTGGCAAAGTGTTGTTAGCTTCTAAATAGACATACCGAAGATGAGAAGGTAATGTCTTCAACTTAAGAGATGGTGGCTCTTCAATAGAGGATTTCAAAGATGGTCTATCAAGAGATGATAAATCTAGAGATTCAAATTGGACACGGTTTCTAGGATAAACTGGTGATGCATTCATGATAGCCATATACTTTTCTCCATCTTGAGTCTTTAATTGAGCTCCTAGTAACAAGGCTTCTAAAAAATAATTACGAAATGCCTCATTGAATTCTTCTTGTGTAACTTGATCAAGCATATCAACAAAGAAGCATTGCTCAAGATCATTAGGAGATTTCATCAACTTGTGCATGTTAAAGGTGACTTGCTCATCATCCACCCTCATAGTAAGCTCACATTTTTCAATATCAATCAAGGTTCTAGCAGTTGTCAAGAATGGTCTTCCTAAGATAATAGGAATATCACAATCCACCTCACAATCAAGGACAATGAAATCAACCAAAAAAATGAATTTATCCACTTTTACAAGAACATCTTTAATAACACCACATGGATAAGCCAAGCTTCTATCCGTTAATTGCAAAGTCACGGTTGTTGGTCTAGCTTCACCCAACTCTAATTTATTGAAAATAGAGAGAGGAATAAGATTGATACTAGCACCAAGATCACATAATGCCTTACCCAAAAATTTATTTCCAATATGACACAGAATTGAGAAGCTACCAGGATCTTTCAACTTTTGAGGTAGTTGCTTAATGATATTCGTACAACTCTTGGTTAGAGCAACCGTCTCAATCTCATTGAACCTTCTCTTTTTAGAGAGCACATCATTCATGAACTTAGCATATTTGGGCATTTGCTCCAAAGCTTCCATAAAAGGAATGTTGATATGCAATTGCTTGAACATATCAAGAAATCTTTTGAATTGGCCATCTTCTTGTTACTTCCTAAGCCTTTGAGGAAAAGGTAGTGGAGGCACATACTTTGGCTTGGCCTCTTGTGGCTTGTTCTTATCACCAACCTTTTTGGCTTGATCTTTATTCTTTTTCTCTTCTTGATTATTCTTCAAGTTGCCATACTCTTCAACCATAATTTCTTCATTAATCACTTCATTATCAACAACCACCTTAGTAGCACCACTACTCACACCACTTGCACTTAGCATAAGAACTTCGGGTAATTGCATCCCACTTCTCAAAGTGATTGATTTACACTCCTCCTTACTATCCCTTTTAGGATTTGGAATGGTGTCACTAGGAAGATTGCTTCTTGACATAGCATTCATTTGTGAAGCCAATTGTCCCATTTGCACTTCGAGATTCTTGATTGCGGTATCATGAAGAGTAAGAGTTGCCTTAGTTTCAACTCTTGCAGATTCTTGATTACTCAAGATTTATGCTAACATCTTTTCCATTCTAAACTCCTCTTCCTTAACTGGTATTGGCTTTGGTGGAGCTTGAAAACTCGAAGGGTGAAGTGGCTTGACATTAAAGGATGAAGGCTGATTTGAAGAATTCCCTTGACTCCATGAAAAATTAGGATGATTCCTCATCCTGAGTTGTATGTTTGAGAGTAAGGGCTGTTGTAAAGGTTTTGAAACTTGCCCATATAGTTGACAAACTTAGTGGTCATATAAAGAGGACATTGATTGGGTATGTGCATATCATTGTATTGATTGCACACAATTGGAATGGCTTGGACAGCATGCACATTATGAGAATTTTCCCTTTGCATTTGAGATTCCAACACATCAAAATGCTTGTTCATTGTTTTCAAGATGGATACAATCTGGGAAGAGGAATCATCTTTTGCACTAGTCACCATTGATGTATTCTTTCTATCTGTGTTTTGAGTGTTGTTCACAGACAATTGGTCTAAGAAGCGAAAAACTTCATTGACAGACACATTTTGATATCCCCCATTTGTGATAGAATCAACTATGGCCTTCGAAGATGGATTCAGACGATTACAGAAAATCTGAATCATTACCCATTTGTCCATCCCATGATTAGGGCATTTCTTCATCAACATCTTGTATCTCTCCCAAGCTGCATAGAGATGCTCATCTGGATATTGCTTAAAGCTAAGAAATTCATCTCTAGCTTCCACCGTTTTATCATCAGAGAAGAATCGGGCTCTAAACTTATTCTCAAGATCCTCTCATGAACCAATAGAACCTTCGGGAAGATTGTTGAACCATTCTTTAGCCTTGTCTTGTAGAAAAATTGGAAATAACTACAAGCGTAAGACATCTTTAGGCATCCCGTTTTATCTGAAAGAATCACATACTTCCACAAAAGACATCAAGTGCTTGTTAGCATCTTCATTGAATAGACCATGAAATACACCATTCATTTGAAGCATTGTGATCATGGCGGGCTTGATCTCAAAAGTATGTGCTTGAAACTCCGGCATTCGAATACAAGATTGAGTACCCCTCAGATTCCAGTTAGCAAAGTCATTGACTGAGGTGGTGTCATACTGGTCTTCTGCCATGTTTCCTGATTGAGTTTCAGGAGTTCTTTCAGAATTAGGAGACTCGGCTTCTTCAAAAATTGTTAATCCTTCAAGTATCACTTCCCATCCTTCTAGGCCTATGACTTGCATATGCCAAATGGGTACCTGAAGAAGAAAACAACTAAAGAAGTATCAAACTAAAACAAAAACACTAAACAAAGACAAAATAAAAATCTAAAACTAATATCTACAAAGCTCAAGCAAAATCTAGTATCACTAGTCTAAGGTTGACCATAATATTTTCAAAAGTAAATCCCCGACAACGGCACCAAAAACTTGTTGCTCACTGCAAGTGTATGGGTCGAAGCAATTAATATAAAATGAGTAGAGTATTGTTCCCTCAAGGATTTGTTTAGAAAACTATAATCAAGTAAAAGACTAAGCAAATTTGATCAAATTAAGCTCCACATAGTTAGGTGAAATAATTTTACAAATGAAACCAACACTAAAAAATAAAGAAAAGTGAGTGATTCATAAATTTTCAATACAATTTAGGACCTATGATTATTTATCCTCCTTGCATTTCATAACACCAAAATTACTTCCTCTCATAAATGCTTTTAACGAAAATAAGTGCTAACCTAGGGTTCTAAAAATACTTGGACAAGCTCTCTCAAGTCATGAACAAGTGTTTAGTTAAATTAATTGCCCAATCTCTTGTTATAATTAATAAAATTTAATTTTAAACACCAACCCTAATGTGGCTATGTAAGGCTAGCAAGTATATCTTTATCTTACTAGCAAAACCATCCATTCAACATGCAAATATCAAGTTCTTGCACAATATTACCCAAGTTTTACACTTAACCTATCCCTCTCAAGCATCAATTAAGTGAACCCAACATCTAAATGGTGGCCAATCATGTAGAAGCATTAAGGAAAGAGTAAAATAAACACATTTATATCAATAATCATAAAAAGAGAGGAGAAATATAGTGTTAATCCGTACAAGGGTTCCAAATAATCCTAGAACAAAGGGTTTAGCCATTCATAATCATCCACAAGCTACAAATATACAAAATAAGTGGACCCATTTCAGATTACGAGAGAGGAAAGGGAAGAGGAATAGAAAAATCAAAGAAAATGAGCTCTAAATGTCTTCAAAGCTTCAATCTCTTGATCCCAACTCTTCCAATGCCCAAACCCTAGCACAACCAAGCTCCAAAAGTGTCTAAAAGTTTAAGGAATCTATTTTGGGTCAAGCTCTCAGCTTATATATAACCTAGCCAACTAATTTCTAATAAATGAAACGCAGCATTTGTCTGACAGCAGAGAAAGTCGCGAACGAAAGTCACGACTTTGGGACGACTTTGGTAGTTTTGCACTGTTTTTACAGCTAATGAAAATCATTCATTTTTCTCTTGATTTCTTCATCCAAATGCCTTCCAAAAACATCCACAAAGCTCCAGAAATACTTCTAATCAAAACTTCAATCAAAATAACATGAAATTAGGCTAAAAATATTAAATTAAAGCTAAGAACACAAGCCCAAAACAAAATGCACATTTTCCTAATTTTGGCAATAAAAACATATATAATTAAACTAAAATGGATTAGAATCTAAGGAAAATGTGATGAAATAACATGAACTTCTAGAGGTTAACAATTTCAAAATTTCACACGATAAAAGAATGAAATTTATGTAAATATATTAATTTACTAGATTTATTATGCATGTAATGTATATATATTTTTTTTATGAAATCCTAATAGTTATACCTACGAAGCTTTATTAACTCACGTGGTAATGCGATTATTTTAGAAGTCTATGAAGATTCAAAAATCTCACATGACTTAAAGATATAATTGATAAATATGATTATGATTTAAATACATTAATTTGGTTAATTAATTTTCTAAATTGTATATTATATCATTATTTACAAAAATCATTTATTTATTTCATGTAAATTGAGAATCATGATATCTGCGAGGACTTATTATCCTACACGATGATGTGATTAATTTAAGTCTTTACGAAGATTCTTAAAATCTCATATGGGACTTAAATAAATTATTTATAAAAAGGAGTTAATTCTAATAGTGGGTCTTTGAAACCCATATTTAATGTACATAAATAGACCCATCATAAATGTGCATACAATAATGATAGAAAGCGTCATAAGGTATACATGAACGTAACAATATTATAAACAAGCAGATACAGAGATGAAAATCATGCTCTTACACATTAGTATGTTCTTGCATGCTAAAAACATATTTAAAATTCAATTTAAAAACCCTGTCTAACAATCACACTAATTCTTTCGTTGTTGGAGATATCATTATAACGAGATCATACCAAAATCATACCAATCCAGTTAGGACAATAAGCAAAATTTCATTAAGGATTTCTCCACGTTTAGTATCTAGCCACATATTGCAATATGAGTCAAAACACCCAACATTTAAAACTCAAAAATAATTTCTCCCAGCCTGCGCCTATGTGTATACACCAGCTCAAGATTATAAATCGCAAAACAACTCTAAATAATCCTTTAGTCCAAATTTTGTATGCCTTCAACGACTTGCTAGCTATTAGACTGTGAAACAAGCCTTAAATCATAGTTAGAAATATAATTTGGTACTAGACTTGACTGTCACACAGCAATACCCATATATGATATGAATCGAACATAAGCAGCAGCAAGCCAGGATTAGACCCTTAATTACAAATAACCATTTTTAATGTCTAAATCATATATCTAACCCAATTTGTATCCTAATAAATTGCTCAAATAATGCAAAAATCCTTCAACTATTCGAAGTCAAGCCTTACAGAAAATTGTTGATACATTTCAAAAAACTAAATTTTACAGTGTGGCATGAGAGGCTTAATCAGAAATTAGAATTTAGAGTATGAAAATTAATCCTAAGATTGTTACCGAAATGGGTGTCTTCTTCACTTTCAGTTTCTAAATTCGACCAGCTTCCCCTTTTGCTTCTTTGGTCACTGCTTCAATCTATTTCCAGCGCTCTTTGTTTTAAATTCTGAGCTTCAGTGAGTCTTCCCCATCCTCGGCTTTTCTTCTATCTCCAGATCAATTTCTCTTTTTTTAGAAAAAACTCATCTCTCGGTCTCTTCCTTTCCCTCTCTGTTTCTCTTTTTTTCATTAGAAAAAACTCGTCTCTTAGTCTCTTCCTCCTCCTTTCTATTTCTCTCTTTTTTTAGAACTCTTTTTTTCTGATCTCAGTCTCTTCTCCCTCTGATCTCGACATTCTCTCTCAGTCTCTTTTTTTAAAAAACTCTCTCCCTCTCATCTCAATCTCCTCCATCTCTCCTTTTCAGTGAATTCTCTTGCCTTATGTAGAGAATAGAAGGGATGAATGATTACTCACCTGCTATACTTCTTGCTTTTTTCCTTTTCTTCTGCTGCATTTTCTGCATGTGTGACAAAAGCTCTCTTGTCTCTGGCTTTGCAGTCTCTTTTCTGCCTCTATGACTTTGGTTTCATGTGTTCTCTGTGCATGCTTGCTTCTTCTTTTTTCTGGCATTCCCTACTTTTCTCTGAGGTTGTCTTTGGCTTTTCAAACCGAAGGGATGCCATTTCATATTTGCTCTCTGTGTCTATGTATTTCTACTCTGCTCTTTCTTTCTATGCATTTTCATGCGTTTGTCTTCTCTACGTGTGTTCTACTTTCGTGTGTGTGTGTTGCTCTGGTCTTATTTTTCTTCCCTATCTTTTTCGTCTACTCCTTTGGCTTTCTTTCTGTGTGTGATTTCCCATCCCTGCATGTGTGCATTTGACCTGGTCAAATGTACTTTGAGACTGATGGGTTAAGGTTTAACCCATCGGTTTATATCATTAATCTCTTTTTAAAAAAACCATAATTTTTTTGCTTTTTAATCATGTTTATTAAATTTAAAAATTAGAAAGCAAACCTATTTTTGAATTAAGCAAGCATATATTTTTTTTTTAAAGATAGCAAAATTTAAAGGAAGAAATTCAAGAGTTGACTTTCAAAAGTTAGTTCCTAATATTTTGAATGGTTAGGATAATGTTAAAGAGATTTTTCAAAGATTTAAGTGAAATTTTTTTTTGATTTTGTTATTATTATTTTTAAAATATAATTCTAAAAAGGATTAAATTTTATTTTTTTATTTTTTATTATTTTTTATTATTTTTAATGAACTAAAAGAAATAAGATCTTAACCAATAAAAAATTATCTAGGTTAAGATAAAATTAAACCTATTAATTAAAGATTTTTTTATGAAAATATAATCCTAAAAAGGATTAAATTTCATTTTTTATATTTTTATATACATATTTTTTGTTATTTATTATTATTTTTATTAAATTTAAAAAATATATAAACAAAATACAATGTTCACAGTTGCCCTTCTTTACTTGTATCATATATGAATATATGAAAAAAAGTGTGTTTTTGAATTCTTATATAAGCAACAAGTAAAGATAGAACATGTATTTTGGTCGGCCATGTAATACGTATGAAAAGACCTAATTACCCTTGACATAACAAGATTTGATTAAATGCGAGACTATTACATAACAAACACAATGACATGATTTTTTTTTAACAATGTGATGCAAATAGAAATGATAAAATAACATAAAAAGAAAAATGTTGTAAATAAATGACAAACGATTCAAACAAAATATATGTTAACTAGATGCCCCTCTTCATTTAATTTCTAAGTGAAAATTTCATAAGATGATATTCTTATCTTAGAAATGAATGAAGAAAGAAACATGTATTTTGTTTGGAGAGGCAAGATTCTTAGGTACTTACAACTAAACAAAAAACAAAATAAAACAAAATAAAATAAAACAAAGGGTTTAAAATGAAATGTGATTTAGGAAATAAACAAAACAAAACCTCAATAGAGATGAATTGCTTATGTTCTAAGGGACTTAGTTGGATGCCTACCTTTACAAGGCTTTAAAGAATTGTGCCTGTCGGTACTAGGCTTTGAGGGTGCATGTGGTTACAGGGCTTTAAGGGTGCCTACTGTTATAGGGTTTTAAAGGATCGTGCCAGCCAGTACTAGGTTTTGAGGGTGCCTACCGTTACAAGGCTTTGAGGGTGCCTGCTATTACAGAGCGTTGAAGGTGCCTGCCATTACAGGGCTTTTAAAGAATCATGCTAGCCAGTACTGGGTTTTAAGTGTTCCTGCTATTACAAGGCTTTGAGGGTGCCCGCCGTTATAGGGCTTTTAAAGAATCATGCTACTCGGTGCTGGGCTTTGAGGGTGCTTGTCGTTACAGGGCTTTTAAAGAATTGTGTCAGCCAGTATTAGGCTTTGGGGATGCCTGCCGTTATAGGGCTTTGAGGGTGTCTGCCGTTACAGGGCTTTAAAGAATCATGCCAGCCGGTACTGGGCTTTAGGGGTGTGAGAATGGGTTTCATCTCACATGGCAAATATGAGAAACTCACATGTGAGGTTTGTTATTTCTTCTCTTACTTTCTCATGTTTTTTTTTATTTTTTTAATATTATTTTTACCTTGCTCCAATCCAAATGTGGCATATTTCTATGACAAGGAATGCAATGCAGTAATGCGCCATGTATGATTTTTCATTTTTCTATTTGCCCTTAATTAAAATGGGTGTTAAAAATATGTAAAATATACCATGAATGGATGATTTGCAATGCAAAAAAGCTTGAACCTTTATTCATCTCAATTTATGAGACTTCTCTTTTTTTTGTGATAAATGCAAAAGTTAATACACGTTTATTTGCCCCAATGCAAATGTATGGATAATGCAAATGTATTGCGAAATTTTTTATTGGAAAGTTTGATGTTGAAAACTGTTTTAATATATATTCCTTTTTTTTTGAAAATTTTTGTGCATATCAAACAAATCATTTCGAACACAAGGTAATACCTCCAAGTCCATTATTTAACCTTTATTCATTAATAGGTGTAGTATCATAATATGCCGTTGCCCCTCTTTAGAAAATTTAAATGACCAAATTCTCGTCACTTAATCTTGCTTTAAAGCTAATGAGATCAACTTTTATGATCGAATACTGATAGCACACATGCTCTTGTTGTCAATTTACACCTACATGATGATCTTGATACCTTAAGGGCGAAAAGTAAGAATAAAGATACTAACATTCTACATCAAGTAAATGTATCAATAAATATTATTCCTTAAATGTGAACCTGCTATAATATATGAGATATGAATTCGAATATGATAACACAAAAAGAGAAGAAAGATGATCTCAAAGGAACAAGGGTGGAAAAATTCATTCTCTAATGCAAAAGTTCATAGAGAAATGGAAATATCTAGGTTCATGAGTACAAATGGCCTAAGCGCAAATGGGATGTGTGAATCTACTTAATCACATATCTCTCCTTTAGCTTTTCAAAACCCCAACAAGTGCATCACTGAGCTTCAATTGATATGCATGGTGTGAGGGATGATGGAATCAACTTTTCCAAACATAGATACTTAACTTCTGATGCCTTCCTTTCTTCTCCTAAGACATCCTTTTGTCTTGGTGAACTCTTCTTCTTCTTATCATTGCTTTGCTTGTTCTTTGCTCTAACTCTTTCTTAGGTTACCTTTATAGATTTTCAACCCAATGAGCTATTCTTTCCTTTTCATTTTTTTATTGGCTCTAACTTTTGTCTAGGTTGCCTTTACAGGTTTTCAACCTAGTGAGCACTTCTTTATTTTTCATTTTAAGCAAAGTAACACTTGACAGCATCCGCATTAATAGGCTTTGCTAACTATTGACTGTCCATGTCAGTTAGGATTAACGCTCCTCCAGAAAAGGCATGTTTGACAACATAAGGTCCCTTATAGGTCGGAGCCCATTTGCCTCTATTATCTTCTTAGGTAGGCAATATTTTTTTGAGTATAAGATTACCAACACTAAATTCCCATGGGTGAAGTTTTTTTTATCAAAAGCTCTTACCATTCTCTTTTGGTATAGTTGTCTATGACACATTGCAGTAAGCCTTTTCTCTTCAATCATAATGAGTTGCTCAAATTGGGTTTATACCTATTCATTTTCTTCTAAATCTGCCTCAGCCAATACTCTTAAGGATGAAATTTCTATCTTAATGGGTGTGATAGCTTCCATCCCATAAACAAGGGAGTATGGGGTTACTCCTATGGATGTGCATACAGTAGCACGATAACCATGTAAAGCATAGGGAAGCATCTCATACCAATCCTTATAAGTTATTGTCATTTTTCCAATGATCTTTTTAATATTTTTATTGGCTGCTTCAACTGCTCCATTCATTTAAGGTCTATATGGGGTTGAATTATGATGCTTGATTTTGAGCTTCTTACAAAAGTTTCTAACTTCCGTTTTATTAAGATTAGGACCATTATCTGTAATGATCCTTTCAGGAATCCTATTTCAATAAAAAAATTTGTCTTTAGGAACTTAAGGAACACTTTTTGTGTGATGCTAGCAAATGAATTTGCCTTTACCCATTTAATGAAATAGTCAATCATGACAAGGATGAAGCGATGTCCATTTAAAGCTTTTAGATTAATTAAACCAATAATGTCAATTACCCACACTGAGAATGGCTAAGGTGATACTAAATTATGTAATGGAATTAGAGGAGCATTTATCCTGTTAGCATAAATCTGACATTTGTGGCATTTCTTAATATGCTCAAAGCAATCTTTCTCTATTGTTAACTAAAAGTAGCCACATCTTTGAATCTGTTTGGCCATAGTGTGACCATTTGCATATGTACCGCATATGCCTTCGTGTACCTCAACCATAATTTTCTTTGCTTTTTCTGAACTCACACAACAAAGTAAGGTACCATTATAACCCTTCTTGTACAGAATATCTTTATTGATAAAGAATGACATAGCCAAATGATGAAAGATTTTCTTTTCATTTTCAGTCATTCTAGTTGGGTATGATCTCTTAGTGATATAGTTCTTAATATCCTAGAACCAAGGATGTTCTTTTTTATCTTCAATATTTAGACAGTATGCTGGAAAGCTTCTAGCTTATACTTGAATGGGTTGGATATAGACTCCACAATCAAGTTGAATCATTGCTGCTAAAGTGGTTAAAGCATCAACGAAATGATTTTTATCTCGAGTCAAGTAATGAAAGCTAACAACCTCAAATTGCTTAATCAAATCTGTTAAGAGTTCTTGATAGGGAATCAATTTTACATCCTTTGTTCTCCATTCTCCCGTTACTTGATGAATAATGAGAGCTGAATCACCAAATAATTCAAACATCGTGTGCTAAGGGTAATAGCTACTCAAAGACCATTAACACAAGCTTTATATTCTATTATGTTGTTAGTGCAATCAAATTCTAATTTAATGGCCACTGGAAATTGTTTTTCTTTTGGTGAAACAAGTACCGCTTCTACCCTATTTTCATGCATGTTGGCGGCTCCATCAAAATACATTTCCCATTCAT